TAACCGTGTTTAGCCACTAATTGTCATTTTTTTTTAAATAAAATAAAAAGATACAATTTTAACTTCTTTTTTAACATTAATTTAAAAATAAAAACGTATTTAAATTATTATTTAACACATTTTCTTTATCAAGAAGGTTAAAAGACGGTTTAATTTATATAACAAAATAAAATCATTAGAAATAATGTAATTTTGCACAAACTAAATTTTACTATTTTATTGTTCCCTCACCTACATATCTTTATGATTAGGTTAAAAGACAATTTAATTTATATAACAAAATAAAATCATTAGAAATAAAGTAATTTTACGCAAACTAAATTTTACTATTTTATTGTTCCCTCACTTACATGTCTTTATATCAATTTTTTTTTTTAACAAATGGTATTATCTACACTAAAAGAGTGAAGGAATCATCTAAGCCTCACACTAAACTTGGACATAATAATGCGGTTTAAATTCTTTTTTGGAGAGAATTCAATTTTAGACTTCTCACTTAAGGTTTATGATCTACTGTCGTTTATATTTCGTTGCAATTTCTCTCTCACATATATTTAAAAACAAAAACAAAAACAAAAAGGAAAAACTTCACAAACAAAAATATATGAGCTTAGGCTAGTTAATTATAATTTCATGTCAGACTCCAAGTCATGTAATCTCTACTAATTAATGAAATCCTCTTTATCAATCAAAAGATAGTGAAAAGATAAATTAGTCTTCTATCACACAAAAAAATGATGGGCAATAATGTAATTTCACATGTCAAAATTTTACTATTTTTTATTGAAGCCTCATATACAGGTGATGTTAAAATACCTCTAAAAAATTATAAAAATAAAATTTTATAAAAAAACCTCCCACTCCCCCTCACATTCTCTCCCTCTCTCTCTCTCTCTCTCTCTCTCTCTCTCTCTCTCCCTCTCTCCCTCTCTCCCTCTCATTTTCTAAAAAAATGTGTTCATACACACAAAGTATGTAAGTAAATGCTAATATTCATCAAGAAAACCACAAGAAGAGAAAATAACATGTTGTGGTTTTATTTTTATTTTTTTACTTTTACTTTATTTATTTATTTGATGCTATTTAACGTTGACAGCGTTAGTCTTGGAGTCCAGCTAAACAACACGTGTAAAAAAAACATAAAAATAGAGGAGAAATTTTTTATTGTGACCAGAATACGAGCAGTACATCACATGTTTTATATAAGTGGTAGAAAATTGTATTTTTAAATTATTAACCTTTTAACATACATTTTACTATTTACATAATGACAAGTGATGTATGTTCCGGTCACACTGAAAATTCTCTCAAAAGAGATGGGGCAGCAGCTGTGGCGTGATGTGTTTTTGCCAGATACGCGTTGCGTGCTTGTAATTTTGGGCTCAATTGGGAGTCGGTGGATTTGGACATGTTATAAAATGGGCTTCAACTTATGATCTGAGCCCACAAAAGCCCAAAAATTCTCAACAAATGTAATCAGCATCGGCCCAAAACCTTTTTCCCTTTTATTTTTCTGTCAATTTCGGCCATAAAAGAATGTTTCACATGCATAGCCTATTTGTAATGTGCTTAGTCGTAATAAATTTAAAATTTAAAAGTCAGGGGCAAAAATTAAATAAATTTTGTGCACCACTCCTTCATAAAGTGGAGGATAATATTGACCTCAGCCGTTGAGCCACCGCGTCCCACTGAACGGACCTCTTCGATAATGACACAGTGCCAACCTGGTTGCATTTGGTGAAATGTTGGCCTCAAGGGGCCCACTCTCTTAATACGGTCAGAATTAATTTTAAATATTTTTTATTTAAAATTAAACACAAACAGTACTTGATAAAAATTAATCGTACAATTTACAATAAATTGACACGATTCACGAATTCTAAAGTTCCTTACCAAAAGGATCAGGAGAGGATCCTATTGTACATAAAAGCACTGCCACCCCATATGGACAATAATTGCCCAAGCAAATGGTGAATAGACACTTATTGTTTTAGCTAATAATAATTGTTCCAATGTATTTTTATTCAATAAATTTAAAAAGAATTAAAAAATTAACATAAAGATATTATTATGTTTAATTTCGAATAAGATTTTTAACTAATCTCATCTTGCCAAATATTTATAGGAAATATTTAAATATTTAAATATTCAATGGCTCATATTACCATTTTCGTGATCCAATGTATTTATAGGAAATATTTAAATATTTAAATATTTAATTTCGAATAAATTAACATAAATTTATCAGTCAAAATTACCATTTTCGTGAAAGAATGGCGAAGTATTTATAGGAAATATTTAAATATTTAAATATTTAAATATTCGATGGCTCAGATTTTGCCATGTGTTTGACAACCTATAGCATGGGCCCCACGATGCTATTCATGTCTCCGGCCATCACGTGTGCATGTATTGCACGTGCCTGACGCAAAAAAAAAAAAAGAATTGCTCATGGATGACATCAACGTGACATCAGATCACACTCGATTGCTGGGTCAAACACAAATTATCTGACTGCTTCGTTCAGCAAGCGTGGGCTCAAGTTTTGCCCGACTTTTTTGAATGGATGTAGCTCTTTTTTGGATCTGAAAATTGCCCAATTGTTCAGCAAAAAGGGATGGAGTGGAAATGTTCTAAGATAATCATCTAGAAATAAATTAGACCAATGTAAAGTCGAATAACACTAAACTACAAAGAGTACAGTTGTTTTATGATATTAATCAAATTGTTATAAATTATCTTCTAAAGTACAACTCACAATGCAAGTTTGGATATACAGAAAAACATGTGATCAAGATTGGCGTTAAGAGGCTACTCAACAATATTAAATTGGCAATTGGTTTGTAATCTAGTCCCAAACGAATAGATCTGTAATCTAGCTTTGTCCACGTTCGGATTTAGCTTTTAAACTTCTCACTAATCACGTATTAGCTGATGTAAGAAGAAGAGTTAGGAGGATTTGCTTACTTGATGCACCAGCAATTTTTACACTTGTTGCAACCACAGCTCGTGTTTATATTATATATCTTAATCACCTTATTGGTCTTCTTTTTAATGTAATCTTGGTGTGTTACCACCGTAGTTATTACTTATTACGATGATCATGTCAGGTCAAAAATTGACTCAAGGTGGGTAATTTGCAATTTTCGGTAAGACTGTTTGATTGAAACAACTTTTACTCTATATACTACTATTGAAATATAATATTTTTTTTATAATTTTGAGAGAAATATCTTACGAATACCATAGTCCGACTATCCATATACAAATTTTTTCTATGCCATGAGAATTTCCGAAAATGGAGTGACGTTCTTGTGGGGAACACAACATGGATAGATGCCAAAGTTTCGAGCCATGGATGATGAAAAGGAAACACATTTGAGAATTCTCTCTTCTACGTTACCAATTTTGTTCTAAAATAAAATGATATTTCAATAGGATTGCTAGGATTACTTGTGCGTGCATGCCCCCAACTTTAATTATAGTTAACTATGAATGGTCAGAATAAGTTAGGCAGGCGCTTGCGCTATTAATTTTGACATTTACTCTAACATAAAATTTTAATAACACTAATGAATAACGAGATATTGCTCAATGTAAAATGATGTTACAAATTTACTTAAATTATGGGCACATATATAGAATTTATAAGTTAAAGAGTTAAACATCTATGCATCATGAAGTGCAGTGACACGTTTACGTTCCTTTAAAGACGAGATTTTTTAGTATAATTGGAACACGGGATAATATATCACGTGTTACTATACAATTGGTATGATATGTGTATTAAAAAGTTAATAATTAAAAAAATAAAATTTCTCACTACTTATATAAAAACACGTAATGTACTACTCGTATTCCGGTCACAATAAAAAATTTCTCCCTTTAAAGCAAACATTCCTCTCTCGCAGAAGTGTAGAACTCCACAGATTAAACTAATGCAATCAATTAGACCATTACAACTTTGATGACATCACCTCTAATCTTTTTATAATTTGTGGCACACATTTGCTGCAATATTTACCAACGAACATCAACCATTAGATAATACTATTCATATACTATTTTTACTTCTAAATTTTTTACTAATTATGTTCATTGATCTTTTTCAATTCATTTCATCTGATGATTTAAAAATAAGGTATGTGTAAAAAATAAAAATAGGTATATAGATAAACATTATTAGAATAATAACATATTAGTAGTATACTATCTCATAATAAAGTTAACAAATTTGATTTGTATAATAATATCCTAAATTTGTTAGATTTGTTATCGTGATTTTTTTTTTTGCATGTCATTCAATATCCTACTAGATAAAGTGTTGAGTTTTTAATCATCGTAATAGTTTCGAATTCTCTCACTCTTCTCTAATAATGGTAAAGAAAAATTAAAAAGATATAACCTTTTTTTGTCTTAAAAGGGAAAAAAACGTTTACTTTTTTATAGAAAGATTCAAAGTCATGCAACAACAAAAAATCCCTAAAATCTTATCTAAACATTCTAACGATATTTCATTTAGAATGGGATCCCATCCAGATCTACTTTGTGGGGTCCCTAGCCATTCATCATATATAATATTGTTATAAATTATTTGATATTTTTTATTTCAAATTAAACACAAATAGTATATGAGGATTATTGGGATTTCCAAGTGGATCCGAAGAAAATCCTCTTCCATTTCATTTGTGCAAACTTAAATTTTAGCGAAATGGACTAAAACGACATATTCATCTTCTGCATCAAAGTTTAGCGGACACCTTTGCGTTTACTCTATAAAAGTTCGTAAATTTCACTCCAAAATTCCCCAAATTTACAATTTTGTGGAATTTTTGTGGATTAGGCGTTTCATCATCATCTCACCAATCCACAATAATTCCTTAAAAAAATAAAAATAAAAAATCCCAAAAAACACTATTAAATTGCAGTCTTTGTCCCCGCCTCCATTATTGGTATTCAATATTTCGATATCAAAAACTTTATAATTTGCGTGTGCCTTTCTTTTTCCTTCATTCTCTTTTCAACCGGGCTATAAAAAATCAAAGCTTGACCCGAAGAATTCAGTCACGTTTCTCTGCTCCATTATTGACTTTGAATTCTGGGTTCTCATTGGTTTTTGAGTTAGCTTATCTTTGAAGGGGGAGCTGGGTTCTCTCAATTTTGCCATTTGGGAAATTGGGTTTGGTTTTTCTCCCCTTGTCCATATCAAAATCCAGCTAAAGATTGTCAAAATCCACCTGTGATATATTGAACAATTACTTGAATTTCAATTAAATTTCGATACTTTAAGGTAAATTTGGATACTTTCTCCTGAGATTTGATTTTCCTTTGAAATTGATAGCATTTGAAAAAGATTAGCCTTTTTGCGCTCAGAAAGATTTGGATATTGGTGAAGTGCTGTTTTGGTCATTTCTGTCTGAAATTCTGATTCTTTAGCTTGTGTTTTCTGAAAAAAAAAAAGGTAGTAATTTGACCATTTGAAGCTGCAAATTTGGCAACTGAGCAAAAGTTTTATTGAAGAAGATACTGGCTGGGTGTTTGAGCTGCTTTCTAGATTTCCCATAAGCTTCAAACCGTTTGTTTTGGAAGATTGTTTTTGAGATATTAAAAAATATGACAATTGGAAGTCTTGCTCCAAATAAGGAGAAGAAGTCAAGAAAGCACAAAGGAGTGATTGATGAGAATGCTCCCTTGTTGCCCAAAGGGCAAGCGGAAGATGCAGGGTTTGATGAGTTCAATGGAGCTTCCTTTACTGGGGCAGTGTTTAATTTATCCACCACCATTGTTGGTGCTGGGATCATGGCTTTGCCTGCCACCATGAAGGTGTTGGGCCTTGTCCTAGGGATCTCCATGATCATTTTCATGGCGTTCTTGACCGAGGCCTCGATCGAATTGATACTTAGGTTCAGCAGGGCAGGGAAATCTGCTTCTTATGGAGGTCTCATGGGAGATGCCTTTGGAAAATATGGAAAGATTTTGTTGCAGGTGTCGGTTTTAGTCAACAATCTCGGTGTGCTCATTGTCTACATGATTATCATTGGTATGACTACAACTCTCTATACAGTATCGAATTGTTTTTACGAATTGTTGCAAATTTGTCACTTTGGTATCTCTAGTAAGGATTTTGTTTGGTCTAGTTTGTCATACGGAATGCTATGTTAAAGGTCTTGATTTGTCTAACATTCTTTGTGCTGCCTGTGTGAAGGTGATGTGCTTTCTGGAACGTCTTCGAGTGGGGTTCACCACGCTGGTGTACTTGAAGGATGGTTTGGAGTACACTGGTGGACTTCTCGATTCATTGTTCTTCTTGTCACGACACTTGGCATATTTGCTCCATTGGCATGCTTTAAGCGAATCGGTTAGTCTGAATTTTTAGTACTTGAAGAAGTTGTTTGGTGCACTGCTATTAGTTTCATTTCCATGTGATTAGTAGAGTTTGTGATTTGAATTGCAGCCTGATGGCCTCATTTGCTTTGTTTACTATTATACAAAGTTGGGAGGATCAGCATACAATTTTGATATGTTAATTAATATTACATTATAGTTAATGAGTTTTTCCACTGATTTGGTAAGGTAAACGTTGCTTGGCATATTTTTAACATGCCTTCCCATACATATTTATGATATTCGTTATCTTAAACCTGTTTAAGAATAATTGTGTAACTTTTCTATCAAACTGTTGGTGTAGCGGTGATTTTATTAATAAGTTTTCCAGCTTTTTGTTGAATTTGAGCCTGTTATTTGTTGAAAAGTTATTCATTTTTCTAACTGGAAAGGAATGTCGCGGTGATGTTAATAGCCCTGTCATGGTTGCAGATTCATTGAGCTTCACATCTGCCCTATCAGTTGGACTAGCAGTTGTATTTCTTGTTATTACCGTTGGAATTACGGTTGTCAAGTTGATCAATGGAAGCATTGCAATGCCCAGATTGCTACCTGATGTTATTGATGTCTCATCATTCTTCAGTCTCTTCACCGTAGTCCCCGTTGTTGTCACTGCATACATCTGTCACTACAATGGTATGAAAACTGTTTGCTTATACAGAGTTCATTTTACTGGAACCTGGACCCTGTTCCTTCTATAAGAATAAGGAATTTTAGGTGGATTAGTATAATTGTGTTCTGCAGTTCCTTTCCTTTCCTTTATTTCGGTAAACTGAGTTATCATTTACAAAAATAAAAGTGATTCAAACTTGACATTTTGCAGATTTTACACACTAACAAGTTTACTGAAGAGAACTTTTATTAGCACTCCAAAAATGTCAATTTACACTCTTCATAAGTGTATTTTTCTTTCTAAGTATAGGAAGTTTGGAATGCAAAATGAATATTGGAGTGCCAATAACAATTCCCTTACTGAAAATATGCAAGACTTTGGGAAACTATAGAAAACGGGGACCAATATTTCATATGGGAGATCTGATATTTGATATACTTTTCACCTTTTTCTGCAGTCCACAGCATCCACAACGAGCTTGAAGACTCTGCACAGATAAGAGGGGTTGTGCAAACCTCACTTGCTTTATGTTCATCTGTTTACATAATGACAAGCCTTTTTGGGTTCCTCCTATTTGGGGACGGAACTCTTGACGATGTGCTTGCCAACTTCGACACGAACCTTGGCATTCCTTACAGTTCCGTGCTCAACGATGCTGTGCGTGTCAGCTATGCTGCTCACCTTATGCTTGTATTTCCCATTGTCTTCTTTCCATTGCGGCTCAACTTGGACGGCCTCCTCTTTCCCTCTGCAAGGCCAATGGTTCTGGATAACATGAGATTTGCACTAGTCACCATTGGGCTCATAAGTATTATCTTCTTGGGTGCAAACTTCATACCCAGCATCTGGGATGCTTTCCAGTTCACTGGAGCAACTGCTGCCGTTTGCCTCGGGTTCATTTTCCCTGCTGCAATTACTCTCAAGTGAGTTTCCAACTTGATCACAAGAACTATCTATTAGTTCAGGTTTCTATTTTATTTTTTCCAATCGCTATAGTATGTGGAGAATAGTAGTTTGCAGAGAAAGACAACAGTCATCCTACCATTTAAGGTTGCCACATCTCGCGGATTTGATGCGTGTTCTGCCATTTTATCTAAAACCATGAAAGAATAGGAATATTAATTACCGAGTTCTGTCCGTGTTATTAGCCTTACAGTGGCTATTTCATTTTTGTGAATAAACTTGGAATCAATACTCGTCTCTTTCTCCTTTGAATAACATTCAGTTTTGTCTTTCGATATTTCAGGGATCGACACAACATAGCAACCAAGAAGGACAAGATCTTGAGCGTTTTCATGATTGTCCTTGCTGTGTTCTCAAACGCGGTGGCCATATACAGTGATGCGTATGCCTTGTTCAAGAACACATCAAAACGCGAATGATACTCAGAGCTCCTCATGATTTTAGTGAAGACATCAACAGGCTGAATCCGAAGTGTGGGAAGGCCAGGGTTTTCTGAGAGGGTTCAGTTGAAAATAAAGATTCTGCACATGTAAAATATGTTGGTTTGCTTAGTGCAGGAAGTGGGCAATGCAGTTCATTGCCTTCCACACTTGTGTATTACATTGTTCTTGATATTGAACTCTTTCTTTTGTATTAGAACGAAGGGAGCTGTGAGAAATGCAAATTTGTATTTTCAGTTTGAGTACAACTTATAAAGTGGTCCTTGAAAATACGTGTAGGATACGTGAAAGGTATATGTATTATTTAGAATTGTATAAAAATAATGTGTTAAACATGAAAAGTACATACATCTGTGTATAGTAAGTGTGTGGTACGTTAAAATTTGAAGAAAAAAAAAACATACAATTGAAAGAATCAATGAGACGTTTATGGTAACTACAGTGTTTTAAAAAAATTCTATAAAAATTATACTTCTCGAGTTGCTTTCTCTAACTTACTATTCTAAAAAAAGCTAACCTTTATGTTCTCATATTTGTCTTCCTATTTTGGACGTAGTAGGGATGTAAATGAGTTGAGCCAAACCGAATATCATCCTGCTCAAGTTTGGTTTGTTTATTTTTTATTTTTTTTGAGCTCGAGCTAAGTTTGGCTTGATTGTTATGCGAGCTGGCTCGAGCAAGCTTAAAAAATTCAAACCCAATACCGAACTTGAACTGTTTTAAACTGTATCTTTTAATAATGAGTTAGGTTCGATTTTGTAAAAACTTGTGCACTATGATGATAGACTTCATGCATAAGAGTTGTAAGGAAAATTAATAAAAATGGCTTGAAAACTTTAAGTTTTAACGATAAGGACAAATTAAAGGATAAAGTGAATAGTACCAGGATTGACTTTTTATTGTAAAAATATAATTTTTCGTTAAAGTGAACAGTACTATGAGCTTTTCGTTAAAGTTCCCTATTTTTAATAGTGCTATCTAGCAAAAACTAACATTTTGTATAAATCACCATGTTATAAATAAGAAAAAGTTAGAGAGATAACCTTTACTAGGAACAGTAGAGAAGCGGGCGCAAGATATCGCACTGTTTAGTTTCGTAACTATAATACAAAAGATTGCAAGAAAAAGAGGGACGAATGGATACTGATATTATTGCTTTCACTGCTTTTCTTTTCTGTGTATTGTAATCACACACGGAGTACTCTTTATATAGAGCCACATCCGTGACAAACCAAAAAAGTGAAATGATTGCTCATTTTGAAAACTTCACACAATAACAAATTAATATGACATTTTTGAAAACTTCACATAATAACAAATACACTATTGTGAGCATTTATTCCCACAATTTTACAACACCATACAATTTATGGCAATATCTTACTTGTAAAAAGTTGTGAAGCAGATATTAGCACTTGGAATAGTGAACAATTTGACAATTAAATTTTGGTTTAGTTTTTGTATGGTTTTAAGGTTTTTTCAGCGGCAATTTGAAGTCCTATTCTCGTTGATTGATATGAATCCCACAAACATAAGAAACCCCTATTAAGCATCCTTCGCAACTTTTTTTTTTTTTTTTTTTTTCATTAGTCAATTTAGTTAGTTTGATGGACTTGGGGCACTAAATAAGGTGGAGATTCATCTCGTTTATAGGATCATCCCCGAGAGTGTGATCAACATTGTCCAATGTCAAAATCTCAGTTGCTTCTCGATCAATATGCATGTAATTTGTAAGTTAGATTTGCTTGATTTACAGGTGGCCAAGATTAAATTCAAGGGACTTGACATTTGAGATGGAGAGCAGCAACGCAAACAATTATAATTGGCAAAAGCGTGCATGTAAAATATCCTTGACAGAAAAGGCCTCTACAAGGCGTTTTACTGTGCAAAGTATTACACTATTAGCTTCCCAAACCACTACCCTATTTACAAAATTCCCATGCACCGGCGCATCATCATGTATGGAAAACTTTCTCAAATGCCCCGCGCGCATCATCCACTAATATACATCAAATATATAACTCCTAAGGGAATCGAATAGACGGTTGAACCTCTACAATGTGGGGAGGGGCTACCCCCTAGTGTATAACGATGCCATTGAAAAACAAAAGAAATAGAAGAAAACATACAGCTTGTAAGTTAGGGGTTCCCAATGCTGGTCACAAAAGGTACCAGCCTTCTGTAATCTCTTCTCTTCCCCAGCGCACAGCTGGCAAGAACCCGCCCCAGCATGAGCCTTGTGTTTTGCAAAGCCACTTCTCTAGGTGAGATTCCGGACTCCGTTGCACTCCCGTGCGCTGGCGTTGAACCTGTTGTAATTGGAGATGTCATACCATACTGTAGGGGCCCGCTGCGAGCCTTAAATGAGGTCTGAGGAGCTAGCATTTTGTCATCACCACCACCAATCCCGTTCTCAAACGTCCCAGGTTCGTGAGGATGAGAACCTGGCACTGAGCTGCAGCTTTGCAGAAGAGCTTCTAGGACACTCAGTGCCTCCCAGCACAGTGTGCTCTCTACCAACTGGGACACAATTGCATACATGTGTGGACTTTGGGCAGCATCCATGGGAGTATGCTGGAGCAATGCCTTGAGCATGAGCAGTATCACACGCTGATACTCAACTGGCCCTTTCTCCAGTAATCGTAACAAGTGCCCGAAAGCCAAAGCTGAGTGCTTTGGGAACCACGCATTGCATAAGAGTGGCGAGACACAAGCAAGGAGGTTGTTGATGCTTTTGATCTCACCACGTGAGTAAATCATAAATACAGTAGCCAATTCATCTAATGATTTTGCTCTACACCAAATAGAGATGTTGGCCGCAACAGAGCAAGCTTTCTGGAACTGCTGTTGCAGCGGTGACGCAGGCCCCAACACCGGATCCTTGCTAAGCTGCAAGCAGAGCCAGGGAAGTAGGCCTGTGATGTGCATCAAGAGTCTTGTCTCAGCACCTCCAAATATAGAATCACATGAATGCACTGTGATCCGTGAGAGAACTTCAATTGAAACACCATGACTAACTGTTGACATGAGTCCTTTAAGAACAAGAGGTTGCACACCTTCAAATGTCGGCAGATTTCCACCAGATGGAGGCTGCTCATAGCCACTCCTGGTTTCCATTCGCTGGAAGTCCCCAATGTCATTATTGGTATCCAACTCATCCCGAGGCATGCTCGAAAGGAGCACATTTTCTGTTGTTCTGTCTCGGAACGATAGACGGTCAATCACACGTGAGAATAGTTCAAGCACTTGACAGTAGACGTGAACAAAATCTGTGTGCATCATAGCTACACACCCCCAAAAGAGTTGGGGGTAAAGTATCACCTTTTCTGGTTCCATGTTCTCCACCATCACTTGCAATGTCAACAGGATTTCCATAATGAATCCTAAAACAGGAGGTACTGGATTTCCTAGGCACCTTTGAAGGCACCGAAGGAGCAACACACACATATCGCTTGTGACACTAGGCCGCAATGCACGGTAAATCTGATGTGAGCGGCAGGCTAGGTGTCTCGATGTGCACTCCATGGCCCATTTCAGTGCCTCGGCTCCCCAGGTCTCACGAAGATCTCCTTGGAAGAAGATAGCATCCACCATGCTCTGAACTAGAGCAGACAACAACGCTGCACTTGGAAGCTCAGATCTCACGACCGTGGGGTCCTCATTTTCCCACATCATGCTTCCTCGCTTTGACTGGACATACTTGATCAGGCTCACAACCTGCTGCTTGTTCTCTCCATCACTATTTTCAACCTCATACAGTTCCAAGTGCCGTCCTGCAAGAGAGTATAGAAGATTAACGAGCAGATGTTGGCAGTGTTCCAGCACAATGTCTTCCGAACTATCCATCGAAACAAATGTAACATGAAAGAGAAGGGGCAAGTGCTCGCGAAAATCTTCATCATTTTCATATGCAATTTCTGCGAGTAGGATCAATGCTATATCTGCATGTGTCAGTGAATGTTGTTGATGGCCCTGCAAGGCCGACTGAAGTTCTTTTGCACTAATCCCATGCATGGAAACCCCAGAGTGCAACCCGTCTTCACCCGAGTTTGGAGTATCAATAAGATAGTCTCCACTGTCCCGAGAAACATGGCGACTCCGCAAGCTTCCAGTTGAACTTCTGACCCCCATTAAAGGCCCCGACATATTAACCAGTGCTGGAAGGAGCTGACCTGAACGGCCCGCATTTGCAGGAACAATGTTCAACTCAGGAGGCATTGGACCTATTGGGCCAGAGACACTTCGGCCTGTCACACCTGCTGTTCGCCAGCTGAGGCTCCCACTTGCATTCCTTAATGGACCATCAAAGGAGCCCCGGACAAGTAATGGTGACATGTGTGGCTGGATGTCCACCAGTGACGGAATTTGGGGAACTGCAGGCCCTTGAGAGAATTCTAGCACAAAATTTCCATTAGCATCAATCTTATTTGCAATTGGCCCAATTGGATCTATGCTATCCTCCAGCATGCGCTGAGCTAACTGGTAAACCAGGTGGTCAATTGTTCGCTGAGGACATACCCGTGCTAAGTATAAACTTACTCGCTTTGCAACAGAGAAATATGTAGCAAAAGCACCACTTATTTCTGCAGATGCATTTGAATCACAGTCCTCTATCCCTTTTGTGATCAAGAAATCTAAAACAGGACTAATGTTCCTGGGTTTGCTAGCAATTGTACTCCAAAGTTTCTCAATTTCATCAGGAAAGTGGTCACCATGCCGCCATGTCACGTAGTAAAGACTTTTTAGTAATCTCACTCCAACCCGAGTCCTTAAGTTTCCAGAAATTTAAGTTCTCAATCCAAGGAGCCATGCATGTTAAGACCTGATGCTGTGCAATTATATCAACAGCATCAAGTTGCCTCTGCATAATCTCCTCGCATAGAAGCTGACTCAACTCAGGATGATCTTTGGCAAGTTTACATGAGAGCTTGTATTGAAACTGTTGGTAGGAATCAGGAAGGTTACCCACAACAGCAGCCCGATAATTCACTGAGCTCTCAATGCCATCCTCAGCCCACTCGCGAACAGAAAGTGTCTCAAGCATCTGAAGGGCATCATCACGGATTTGTCTTGATGGATCTACAACCTTATAGAGAATTAGACTCAAAAGTCTCTGGATTTCACATTTTGGTATCTCTTGGCGCATGTAGACCTCAGCCAGCACACTGAAGTATCCATCAGCTATAGCAGCATCAGAGTAATAGCACTGCAACAAAGTATCAAATATGTTCTAACTTTAAAATAAAAATGAAATCCCTTAATTTTGAGATGTAAATTCCCAACAAAACAGTGAATATAAAGAATACCAACCTAGCAATATAGTAAAGATGCAACTGAAGACCAGAGAGAATGCATGTGAATTTTTCTAGGAAAAAAAGGAAGAGAATTGACTTTGACATTTTATTCCAACCGACTTGCAAAGCACTAGGTAGATTCTCAGTACTTGAAAAAACCAAGTTACTTCTATGGAAGTCAGAATTACCTTGTTGATTGTCAAGGAATCATCTGTAAATATGATGAATTTACTAGTGAATTAACAGTCCATCAATTATCATATGTAGTACGCAGCAAAGTGAATCAAATTACAGGATCCTCAAGTGGCAAGGAGGGCGAAGATTCTAATAGGAGCTATAGCCCCAACAGACTCAATCTAGCATAGGCTAATCAGCCTTCAGGGCTGGAATAAATTCTACATAACATATAGTAGGGGCACTGTGCCTCTGGCTCTTATTATTTAAAAAATAAATAAAATCTAATGATAAAGGAACAGAATAGGCAAAGGAGACATGAGTACCTGATCAATACAAGCAGGAAACAGGTCCAAATTTGTTTGTAATAGATTCTTCAAAGCCAGTTTTGCTAAAGAAACACGATGATGACCACCCCTATGCCTATCACGACCACCAGTCCCACGACCTCCTTCTCCATTGTACTTCGAATATGATGGAGTTCTTGGGTCAGCTGGTGAGTACCCAAATGGAGCCCTAGGTGCTGGCTCAATGAACAAACTGTTGATCCAAGATATAACACGGCCACTCATCTTCCTTGCATTATCATCAAAGCAAGGCCCGTATAAGAGTGAAGCCATAGCATTCATGGAGGCCCACTGGATGGCCTCCACCTGTTCACTAAGTTCTTTATCAAATGATATTTTGTCCACAGAATCTTTTGACCGGGCATTCTGAGAAGACTTATAACGTTCCACCTCACGTCGATAATCACTAACACCTTCTTGGCCCCAGGTACTGCCTGTGTCATCACACCAGGAGAGAAGAAGATCAAACAGTCGCTTTCTAGTTCTGACATCAAATTTCTCTGATTTTGACTCAACAAATTCGGGGGCTAGTGATCTTAGAACAGAAGCAAGTGCAAAGCGGAGAGGCTGCATATCTTGGAAGTTTTCAGCAGGTGCTGTCAATATCTGTCTGGTTGTTTCATCGATGAACTTCAGATAGTGGAGACGGAAAACTGGCTTACGGGCCAGCATGCCAGGCCATACATTCTCAGCAACAGTACGAAATATATTTGCAATATGGATACGAAGCTCCTCCCGGCGAGATTTTTGACTCTGTATATCATGTTGAGTCAGATACACTGATAACCAATATCTAACTAATGAAGCACTTTAACAGTTGAAGCAAAAAATAAAGGATATTCAAATAGTTCTTAAGCCTTTACATATAATCAGTTTAACAAAACATTTTGCAAATATAAAACAACTCAAAACTGAAAGCTATACAAACTAGAAATCAATTTAAAAGTAGGTACAAAGATCAACTGCTGTCAATGTAATTAATACAAATCTCCTTTGTCATAAAGTGCTGCACAAAATTATAACATCATCAATTTGTAGAGAGCATGGGATAGTAAATATTTTCATTTGATGAAATAAAGGGAGTTGGATTAATATTTATAAAAGGGAAATAATCATTTGTTCCTAAAACACCCGAGTAGAATACCAAAACGTATAGACCACACAAATGATGGGCATGCTAGCCACTTTTGATGTTGGCAGCATGAATTTTTCCCCTTATGTAAAGTATAGCAAATCAATACTTTCTAGTACCAAACATATTCAGTACATTGAAAATGTCAAAATGCTGAGTCTTCAAATGATAGCCTAGAATAAAAGAAATTTGAGGAGTTTATACAGCACCTTCCACTTTGGCTTTGCCTCTGTCTCTGAGGAAACCTCATCAATGAAAGATGCAAGCTCAGTAAACATGATTTCACATGCTTCCAAATGCGAGCGGCCAAGAGTCATTGTTGCTGCATGCTAAATTAGAAAGGACGAAATTTAGTCTACCCAGTTGAAGAGAATCAACAAGCATGGAATAATTAATCAATGAAAGGAATATGTTTTCTAATTAAAGAAACCCTTACAGATGCAAAAGACCTGAAACTAGTAGTAACATAACAATAGATCCAATTCTACGGGCATTAGAACTGGATCCCCACCACAAATTTGTTGTAATCACAAGAAAAAGAAAGTAAGGACAAGGTACACTAGACATGACAATTTGTAACCACAAAAAATCTTCTTGTATCCATGATTCCATATATCCATTTATATAATAAAATACTGAAATTAAACAAACATCTAGCAAGTACTTACTATATGTGCCTCAGATCCAGATTTTAGAGACGGAAAAATTAGATGGTAAAGATCTTTGGTTGCAACTATACTACCAGCTTCTCTATTATTTGGTGGACATGAACATACGAACATTGCATACATGAGCCACTGCTCCAGTTTGCTGTCTGCATCTTGTGACTGATGAGCCTTCCCACCCAACTCAACAGGTGTGACATGAGCCAGACGTTGCATTACCTCTGCCCTGCAAATTTAGATTGTGTTACGACAAGATCATGGAATTTCAATCGTGAAATTCGGGTTGACCAGAAAATCCTGATCATTATAAAGTGTTTCAAAGATGTACAAGATAACTAAACATAAACAGGAATATACTTACTTTGCTTCATGGACAGATCTTGGGCAAAGTTCCGCAGCGTATTTGACAAGCTCACTAAGACAACGAGCCCACCTGTTCTTATCAGGGCTCTCAAATATTATAGACTGAAGTGTCACGTCAGGAGGGATTGCATCAGATTCTCGTCTCAAATCAGATGGACGCCCAGAATCCCAATAGCAGCTCTGGACGATGTCATCCTGAAACATTAGAAAAAGATTCATAAATGAAATTCAATAAGACGTACATTTGCAACTTTGCAACATTGCAACTCAAATCGAAAACGGGACAGGGGGAACAAAAGAAGATAAGGTTAAAGATAGGAAGATAACTCACCCCATGCTCTTCCAAGACATCAATTATAAATATTGGTTCAGGTTCATATTTCAGACTATGATCAGGCTGTGCGGATATTGTAAGGTACCGTATATCATTCCTTAAAGCACGTACACACCGCAATAACTCCAGTGCAGTATGTCTAATCTGGCTGTCAACAGAACTAAGGAAGATAAGACCAACTGCATCTATCTCTGATGCACGAAACTCAATCAACTCTCCTGCTATATGGAAAGAAGGTTTCTTAAATCCATCATTTCGCCCTACGCGTTTTGTGTCTTGAGAATCACATTCCAGTCTATCATCAATTAAACATGCTCTCCAAAAACGCATGAGTTCCAACAAACGGCCTAATGATGTTTGAATTAGAAGTGGGAATTCATCAGGAAGTCGTAGGACGAAGTTCGCCATCCCTCTCATCACTGCAAAGCGACGATGGGGAAGGTATCTCACAATCCGGTTCAGTACCTGCACAGCTTCCTCGCGAACACCAGGATCAATGCTTATCCCATGTTGAGGTATTATTTCAGTGATTTTATCACTCCGTCCAACCTCTTCTATTAGATACGGTATGCATTTCAGCACAGAGCGGAAGAGATATCCTTGAGACTTTTCCTTGGTTGCAGAATCTGGAAAGCATAAAGGTTATTTAGTGTTGTCATTACAGCAACGTAAGCATAAAGTTAAGCAGCATGCGCAGATAATTGGGTTATACTTTAGCTAATTATTCTGTAACTGCAACAAAAACATTTAGTATCTTAGCAAAATGAGATTGGCGGGCAGGAATGTTCAGAAAAAGCCTGCACAACAATAAAACTACTGGTTGGCCTAGTAAGGTAGAGAACTCAATGGTTTACTGTGTGCAGTGACATGTACGGAGAGTGAAGGAGTCAACTGCGTATGACAAGCTCACTAAGACAGTGATCCCATCACAACATGGATTATAAACAACATACAGAAACTGACAACATGAAAATTAATTAGCATATCAAAGCAAAAATGAAAAGAGAAACCTACTATATTATATATATATATACAAATTTTGATTCCTTCAATATTGTCTGTGCATAGTATTAGTAAATAAAATACCTATGGTGGTCCTTGAAGACGTCAGAAGAGCCTGACTATAGGTTCTATGGCAAGACCTCAAAATTGACTCAATTGCAGCCTTCACTTTTGGAATATAATGGCCAATATCATGACCTGTTGATGTAAGAAGACTTCAATGAGGATCAGTTGAAAACTTCAGCTACCAGAATATGGTTACAAGTATATGACTGAACCTTTGAATATGTCCAGGCCAACATGCGGACTTGAAGGTGACATTACAATGGCGAGCAAAGCACGGAGACCAATAACCTTTGCTTCACTAGGACTATCTTGTTTCAGCAGTTCCAGTATCATATGGTTCATGGCAAAATCAAGGTTATGTTCTGCTATAGTCACACAGAACTCCACAAGTTTATCATGTTGGACATCCTGAGTAAGCATTCCTTTCTTCAGAACCGTTAACAGTTGTGAGGTAACACTGTCCAAGTAATCCCATGTACGATTATGCGACTGGCCTAATGCATGGACGCTCAAGTAAAACCTCAAAACTCGATGAAGACAGTCCAAGGCCATGAAACGATGGGTCTTGTCCTGAATGAATAAACTACATAATGTCATACAACTTATGCATGAAATGGAAAACTACAAGGATATGGCTCCCACCTTTCAACATATGAACATGCTAAGAAAACATGATTGAACCTGGACAATACAACCAACTAACCAAATATACGCTTTATTGTCCCCTACACCATTTGTTTCTTGAACTTACTCTAAGAAGCTTGTAGAGTTGATCCATGTGAGGGCTTAAGTTGTGGATGAAAAATGTATCATCGCCAAGACAGAGAAGAAGAGTTACCAAAGGGTAACCAACCTGACAAAAATTGTTTACATGAAATTAAAATAAAAACCACAAACATGCAAGGGGAGGATGTAATAGACAGCACTAGCTTGACAGAAAATGCATATTTAACAATAATGGCAAAGGGGAAAAAGAGTAACAATTGACCTGACCCCATAACTGGAAATAAAAACATCAAACACCAGCCACACCATCTAACAGCAATCATTTAAGCCAAACTTCATCAGAAAAACTACAGCTACAAAAAATGGAGGACCCTTTCAGAGGAATGCTTGTAATTCTAGAATATAATCAAGTGAAACTCCTAATACCAAAGCATGCCTCTGTAAAAGTGGCACATGAACTTGTCATGCACAAACTGCCCCAGTATGGCGACAAGTACTTCAGCTTAAAAGATGAGATATTCATAATACAATTCCAGGACTACCATGACAGTCTGTATAAAGAAATAAACTTTTAATCGCTGTATAAGGCATCAAATTCTTTTTCTGTTTCATTTTTGGATTGTATACCGAAATCAAATGGAAGCAACAGTAAAGTGCAAAGGGGTTACCTTCTCCATGATAAGTGAAAGTACTATGTATATTATTTTGCACATTTTCGATATTGGAAAACCCAAATCAGAATCAGATAAGAAATATGTAAAAGAGAGGGGTCAACTTACAGCAATATGTTTGCTTTGTTTTTCCATCCAATGGATAAGTTGTCCTCTTATCCGCCCAACAGCTTCATGCCAGAGTGTAAGTGCAGGATCTACACCTAAAGGTGGCCACTGGCTTTTTCCACCATCTGCCAAAGGTGCTAGGATATTTGAAAGCATATTGCATAGAGCATGATGGAGCTCACTTTTGCGTTTATGTGGTGCACGATTGAGAGGGTTTGCTTTTGCCACAAAGGAAGCAGATGCATTCAGTCCACCCTCAGTTTTTACCTGACAGTTACTTTAGTTATAGAGTCGTCCTAATATCATTTTTCCTATATGAATGTTACTATCCACATACCCCAAGTTTCAAGTAGCGCATTCCATTAATGATACTAAGTGTTTCACTTCGGGCAACACTAGTGTCGATTCGACGAATACTGAGTTCCATGAAAAAGCGCTCAGTGACCGAGCTAAACCTGAACATGATAATCAGTATATAACATTAACTAAACTTGTAGTTAATCATACTGGATAGGTAAATGTAATTAAGATGCCAGATTACCTAAAATTGGTCATAACAACATATATTATCAAAATAATATACGCAAAATTGGTCAGAACAACATATATTATCAAATAATACTGAATGAGTTAATATACACCCAACCTCACAAATGACAGATGATAAAAATTAAAAAGAACTATATTAAATTTGAAAGAAAATGCTAGTGCATTACCTATGCAGCCTAAATCACAAATACCGCAAAGCAAGAGTATTAAAAGACACAAAATCATCAAAATAACAGATTTCAAAACCAATTTAATAATGAACAATATTTTTAAATCGTTTTGCAATTCTCTTCTTTGTGTTCTTTCCTTTCTTTTACGAGTGAGAGGGGGGAAGGGGGTGAGGGAGTTTGGTGATATTCTGTCACCTGATGCGAGACAAGGCACCCAAGAGCTGAGCAACTAAGTCCAGAAGAAGTCCTCGCAGGTCAACCAATGAAGGATATTCAACCTGACTAACAACCCTGCAATAACAGTAAAATGGATTGCAACCCAGATAAGTATATGACCAATGAAAATAAAGCTTCTAATGAGGTTTACTTTTATCAATTTTTCAGATATGTGTTTGAGTCCCTTCATCTCTGGCTCTCTGCACTACATATAACAGCAGGGAATAGGGTTGTAGGGAGGTTCAGCTCTCTGAGTTAGATCTCTAGTAAATAGCTATAGTAGTGTCCTCTCCTAAAATCGTATCATCCCAAAGGCATTATTCTTGATTAAATTTTATGCTAAAACTCCCTCAACTAAAATAAAGAACAACCAGTATTATCCAGTTAATCAGTCATCTTACATTGCTTTCACATTCACACCCAGGACATAAGGTTAAATGCTTAGATCCAAACAACATCCTGGTACTCAAATTTTATTATAAATTTGTGTATCATAAAGTCAGAACCAACATAGAAATCAATATCAAGAACTGAGGCAAAAAACGTAAAAAAGATCCGCACCTTTTCTCTTTCCTGATTAAAAGAAAAAAAAAAGTCCACAACAATTACTCCATGCATATATCAAATTTATGGGAAAGGTATGACAAATACAAGAGAACTGGGAAAAGCATCCGCACGATGAAGCATATAACAGACACCAAAATTAAGCCACAACATATAAACAAGAAGTTCCCACAACCAACTATAGCTTTACCTGTCAGCATTGATCAGCCAGTCAAACACAAAATTTTCAAGCCCAGACCAAAGTTTCTCTACATAAAAACAAAGCCTGTGTTAGTTCACTGAATAATACAACTTTGCAAGCCTCAAGGTAAAATAAAATAGCAATGAAATGAACTAACCTGTAAGTCCCTCTTGTGGACAACACTCAACAAAGCGAATACATGCTGAGCAAAAAATGCACTCCACCGCAAGCTGAGCTTCAGTAAACATAGCATGAAAGTTATAACTAATGAAGCAGCATGCCCAATCACAAATACATGTTGAAAATAATGGAAAAAGTAATAAAATTTGATACTCTAGTTTCTATACTATGCAAACTGCTCCATACAAACCTTTCTTTGGAATGTAGATGCGTCATTTGCGCCTTTTGGGGATTCACTGCAACAAAAGATTTCTATGTTAAATGAAATGGCTAGGCCAAAAACAATGAATAACTCGGATCAACAACAAAGCTTTGACATATTGTAGCTCTACCCATGCCATTATAAACAAGAGGCTAGGATAAAGGCATCAAGTCCAGAACAACTAAGGAGAGGAAGAAACCCACCCTTCTCTCCATCTTAGAAGAGCTTCTAAAAGAGGTATCGGTGTATGCCGTGCTACCATAGCTAATGAATCCAGCACTTGCTCATAAGCAGGGTCAGATGGTCGGAGATACTGCCCATCCTATAAGTTCCACACATAACGAAAAGAGAAAAAAAATCACTTGTAAGATGAATGCCAACCCATCATAGCAAAACAAACATTCACTAAACAACAAAGGCATTAACTCATATTGTGAAAGATATAGACAATGTGCAGCAACAAATGACAATGTCGGTACCATTTCTACATAAATAGAGGACCTTGGACAGCATTTGGAACCTAAGATGAAACCCTGCAACTATTTTTAACTTCTTCATCATGGTTAATTACTCTTTCCTCAACTAACGTTTCGAAATCATGCTTACAAAGATTACAAAGGAACAAATGACCACCCCAAGTAACTCTACCAAGTTCCTCGAGCCAACTACGAAATTCACTATAGCTAAAGCATGCTGGAAACCATGGAATCAAAATATGAAGTGAAATGCAAAAACAAGCGGAGCAAAGATCTTTATTGACGACGAAAGATTGCTAATTTCACAGAGAGAGCTACATAGATATGCAGACGGAGGCGAAAAACCTAAATTCAATCAAACATGTGAACATTTGCAGAATTTCGAGTGGATTCAAATCAGAAAACGGACCTGAGCTTGAGCAGTTTCAATACGACGCCGTGCGAGAGGAAGAAACCGCTGGAGCAGGGCGTCGACGATAAGCTTCGCGGCGCTTCCCGCCTTCATTGTTTCACTCTACGATTCGCTTCGTCTACGCTGCCAGCTCAGCTCCGAACCCCCCCCCCTCCGCTGGCATTCGCTCCGCCGCCCAACCCTAAAAGCAGCGGAATTTGTGAAATTCGCGGTGGAATCTGGGGACTTTTGGTAGCGTGATTTTGGAGCGAAGGAAAATGAGATCGTTAGAGCAGAAAAGCTCTACGAACAAGAACAAAGGGCGTAAGAAAGAACAGACTGTTTTTTTTCTCCTTGTTTCGATAATAATTTATCCATCTTCGGAGGGGTGTTTGTGTAATTATGTACTTTCCAATTACCTGACACCTCCTCAATTTATTTCCGACAATTCCGGTTACGAATTATTAAACCTTTCATAAATTTGTTCTTAATGAGAACCATACTATCCCACTCAAAAATTCAAATTTGAATAAGACTTCTATTGGGCGTTTTTTTTTTTTTTTTTTTTTTGTGCAGGTGATATAACAGGGGATGGATTTGAATCCAAAGTGCAAGTGTCGGGGTGAGTTAGTGTTTTAAAAGACTCGCCTTGGGGTGTGTCTAGGCGGCTTTGGGGGCGGGTGGCACCATTTTCGCTTCTGTTTTAAGGGAGTTGGCGGAATACACGCCTAGGCTTCTTGGGGCGCGCCTAGGTGCTTGAGGCATCGATTGAGTGTCCCTTTTTCTTTTTTAAGTTTCAAAAATCTAGAAGTTTTTTAGAGTTGCAGGCCATGAACACCAGCGAAGGAGATGAAGAAAACAGCTAAGTTTTTTGGGATGAGTTGGTGTTTTTAATTTTTTTTTTCTTTTTTAATACTTAAAATGACCCCACTTTATCACATTTATTACCCCCATTATCTTCACTTTTTAAAAACTAATCCCACTTTAATGACATTTATTACCTCACTATCTCTTTTCTCTTCGCTTTTTATTTCTAATATACTAGATATATATTAGATAAGCACTGTTTTGCTTGATGAGAAAAAGAAAACATATTTTTATGGGAAAATTTGAAATAAGTCCAATTTTTAGTGACTTTTGACTTTTGAAATAGGTCCAATTTTTAGTTACTTTAGACCCATATCAAAATACCCCTTTTTTTATTTGGATTATTATTTTCTTAATGTTAGATTATTCTTTTTTAAAAAGTTCATTATATTTTTTCCCTTATTTTTTTTTAAGGCTACCTATCCCACCCAAATATTATCCAAAACTCTCATATAAATAGGCCCTTACTTAAGTAGATGTTTGAAATTGATTAATTTGATTGCTTGATTAAACTTGGTTATGTGAGTTAAACTTGTTTGTGACTATTATATTTTTATATGTATAAAATATGTATTAAAAAATTAGGTCTCGTGAGGCTTCACCTCACACCTTAAGGCTTTCGCCTAGGCAGGGCTATCCATCAAACGCCTCGTTCACACCTTCGCCTTTTAAAACATTGGCGCGAGTATCTTGATTTTTTGTTATTTCTATGAAAAATGATAAACACACACTTCTTTGAGCCTTTCATGCGCTCATGTTAATTATGTTTGTCCATTATTTTCGTTTACTTTATTCAATTCGATTGCCAAAAATGAAAAGTGTGTGTGAAAAGGACCTCCCTTTTTAAACTTCTACATCCTTTCCATAGAGAAATACACTAATCAAAACTGTTCTAAAAAAAATGTATGTACTGATCAAATTTCCCCATTCAAAAATTAAAGAAAATTTCCCACATATTGTTGCTTTCCAATTCATTTGACCCTTATATTTAAAAATAATAATTGTATTCATGAATTAATTTTAAAGCTTACAATTTTCTCACTTCACAAATGAAGGAGGCTTGAATTAAGCTACACATTTTACATGCTAAATTTGAGCTCATCTTCAAGAAACTCCTGCTTTCCCATCTCCTCATCAAGCACAAAATCAATTTCTGGCCTATACCCAACTCTCGTCATCTCGGAAACAAGCAAATCAAGCTGCTCATACACCTCTTCATGTCTCGGATGAGCCTTGTCGCCAACCAAAAACGCATGTACCTCATCTTTTACCTCAATCCAGCTGCAACCCGGCTCCTTCTTTAATTTACCGTGCCACATTGTCTTCCTCATCTTCGAGACCTTGCCCCACATTCCAGCTTCCGCATATATATTTGATAACAGAACATAGGTAGAAGAATCTTGAGGATCCAGTTGCAAAATGGAGCTGGCTGCTTTTTCTGCCACCTCTACATTTCCATGGAGCTTGCAAATGCTCAGCAGAGTTCTCCATATAACATCGTCGGCTTCGAAAGGCATGTTGTCAATAAGCCTCAAGGCCTCGTGGACTTGGCCTGACCTCCCTATAATATCCACCATACATGAGTAATGCTCCAACTGAGGATGTAAACCATAGTCGCTAAGCATTGCGCGGAAATAGTGTAAACCTTTTTCAGCGTGCCCAATATGTCCACAGGCTCGGAGGACTGAAACAAAAGTTGCATGATTTGGCTCCACATTCTCAAGCTGCATGTACTCAAAAATTCTAAGAGCATCTTCTCCAAGGCCGAAGTTTGCGTAGCCAGAGATCATAGCGTTCCATGTGACAGCATCCCGCTTAGGTGCTTTCTTGAACATTAGATGTGAATCTTGCATGTTACCACATTTTGAGTACATATCGACAAGAGTGCTGACTATGTATACATCCGACTGCAATTCATGTTTGATAATCTGAGCATGGATCTGCTTCCCAAGTCCAACAGTAGCCAAATTGGCACAGGTATCAAGAACCGTAGCGTATGTAAAGTTATCAGGTTCTGCACCCATTTCCAACATCAAAGAGAAAAATCTCTGCGCTTCCTCATCTTGCTTATGCAATGAGAAGCCAGATATGATTGCATTCCATGAAACCATGGTTTGTTCTTCAGTTCTATCATGTATCTTTTCTGCCTCTTCCATCATTCCACACTTGCAATACATATCGACAAGGGCACCTCCAATAAATAAGTTCATGCCCATTCCAGATTTAATAATTCTGCTATGAATTTCCATCCCATAGTTTAAAGAGTGCTGACCTGCACAAGCTTTTAGAACACTACCAAAGGTGAACTCATCCGGTTCCATACTTGAGCGGAGCATGGACACGAAAAATGAAAGTGTCTCCTTTTCATTTTCATTTTGTCCATAAGCTGCAATAATCGCATTCCAAGACACAGCATCTCTAACTACCATCTCATCAAACACGCGAGAAGCTCCAAAGAGATCTCCGCATTTACCGTACATGTCCAGCATGGCATTTGCTACACATACATTTGATCTCAAACTACTCTTAACCACTAATAATTGTAGTTGAATCCCCTCCAAGAGCCCCTTGATCACAGCACAAGCGCTAAGTGCACCAGATAATGTTATCTCATCAAAACCAAGACCAGATTTCCGCAAAAGCTTAAATAGCCGCAGAGCTTCAAAACCTTTCTCATTTCGAGCATATCCTACAATCATTGCATTATATGACTGCAAACTCCGGTTCGCCATCAAATCGAATATCTTTCTAGCATCAGACATCCTGTTACATTTTGAATACATGTCCAATGTGGCAGTTCCAACGATGACATCAAATTGGAAGTCCGTCTTTATAGCATGTCCATGAAACTGAGTGCCTAATCTATATGCAGATAATCCTGCACAGGACCTGAAGACGCTAGCATATGTAGACTGGCTCACCCCGGCTCCCGCTTTCTGCATCTCATTAAACAGTTCTAAACCCTTGACGTACCGATCATTCTGAACAGAACCTGCAATTATTGCGCTCCAAGAAACCCAATTCTTTTCGGGCAATTCATGGAAGGCTTGAAGCGAACAATCTAATCGCTTACACTTCCCATACATATCCACCAAAGCACTTCCGGTGACCACATCAATGTCAAAACCCATCTTCACTGAAACACAATGAATTTGAATCCCCAAACCAATCTCTTCCATAACAGAACACGCCTTCAGAACAACCGCAGTCGTTGTGCAGTCGAATTCCATACCCCCACTCACCATTTCCACATAAACTTCAGTAGACTTCCAACTCACCACTCTGCAAATACCCCGAAATCAAAGAATTCCATGAAACCACGTCTTTCTCAGGCATAGCATCAAAACAAGACTGCGCAAACCCCATCTTCCCACTCCGAGCATACCCAAAAACCATGGTGTTCCACGACACCATATCCCTCTGCGGCATTCCATCGAACACCTTACCTGCATACTGCAAAACCCCACACTTCACATACATCTGGATCAAACAATTCGTAACGAACACAGTGGGATCGAACCCAGAAACGATCATGCGAGCGTGGGCCTGTTTTCCCGGATTCAGAGCTCGGCCGTGGGAGCATTGCTGGAAAATGTGGGAGAAAGTTTTGAAATTTTTTGCGGGTATTGGTTGGTTGCGACTGTGAGTGAGAGTGGAGAGAGAGCAAATGGGTTGCGTTTGGGGGTGAAGAGATTTGGAAGAGAAGGAGACGATTCTGGTTAACCAAACCGGAGAGAGATGGTGAGCAGCAGCCATCCACTGCGCTATTCATTCTTGGCGGGTAAGTTCATATGCAGTACACTTTTTCTTTTACCGAATTACTGTTTCCTTTTTACATTTGTAATTTTTTTTTTCACTCGATTCAAAAGAGAGGCAAACCAGTAAATTGGGCGAAACGCAGCGTTCCGACAAAGCGAATATAATTATACTTTTTGCATGTATTTTCATACATTACCGTAATTTACTCTCTATGCTCGGTTATGTTTGGTTGAAGAAATTTAAGATTATTAAGAAATTTTAAAATGACAAAAATTGAATTGACGGGATTTTATTATCTATAATTTGTGAATTTTCTTGTTTGGTTAACTTAAAAGAACAATAGAATTATATATGAAATTTGTCATTTTTAAACTCTCAATCATAGAAATTGGAAAATGACACATATTTACATGAAATTTAAACTTAGGAATTGGAGGTCCCAAATTCTAATTTTTTTTTCACCGCGGAAATTCTAAATTCCTATGTCTATGAACAAAAGAATTTATGCATGTCAATTTACAAATTCTAGCTTTTCTCCTAATTTCATGTTTATTTCTTTCATCCAAACATTACTATCGACGCTCCTCCATACAACAACAACAACAATAACAACAAAGCCTTTTCCCATTAAGTGGGGTCGGCTATATGAATCCTAGAACGCCATTGCGCTCGGTTTTGTGTCATGTCCACCGTTAGATCCAAGTACTCTAAGTCTTTTCTTAGGGTCTCTTCCAAAGTTTTCCTAAGTCTTCCTCTACCCCTTCGGCCCCGAACCTCTGTTCCGTAGTCACATCTTCGAACCGGAGCGTCAGTAGGCCTTCTTTGCACATATCCAAACCACCGTAACCGATTTTCTCTCATCTTTCCTTCAACTTCGGCTACTCCTACTTTACCTCGGATATCCTCATTCACAATCTTCTCCTTTCTCGTGTGCCCACACATCCCACGAAACATCCCCACGAGCATCCTTATCTCCGCTACACCCATTTTGTGTACGTGTTGATGCTTCACCGCCCAACATTCTGTGCCATACAACATCGCTGGCCTTATTGCCGTCCTATAAAATTTTCCCTTGAGCTTCAGTGACCTACGACGATCACACAAACACGCCGGATGCAATCTTACACTTCATCCATCCAGCTTGTATTCTATGGTTGAGATCTCCATCTAATTCTCCGTTCTCTTGCAAGATAGATCCTAGGTAGCGAAAACGGTCGCTTTTTGTGATCGTCGCTAGATTGCTCCGGTCATTAGTGTGGATAAGTATATAAATGGATAGAGATAGGAAAGCAAACAACCAGAGATGTACGTGGTTCACCCATATTGGCTACGTCCATGTGAAATAGAGGAGTTCTCATTAATTGTGAAGGGTTTACACAAGTACATAGGTTCAAGCTCTCTTTTAGTGAGTACAAGTGAATGATTTACTACAAATGACATTAGGAAATATTGTGGGAGAATGATCTCGTAATCACGAAACTTCTAAGTTCCGGAGTGTGGTATCGTCTTGACTTGCCTTATCTGTCTCGTAGGTAGATGTGTCATCTTCTCTGGAAGTACTCTTCCTCCATCCAGGGGTGGTATCTTTAACTGGTGGAGATGCACAAGGTAATGTATCAATTTCACTTGAAGCTTACTTGTAGTTTCAGGCTTGGTCAAGCGCGATATAAACCATGTAGTAGGAGTCCTCCAAGTCGCCGAGCTAGGCGATCTGCTGAAAGAGGTGACAGACAAGGTAAGCAATCAGAGCTCCAAGCAATCAGTCCCAGATCAGAACTTTGATTTCGAGTTCCGGCTGATTGTTCACATTCTCCCTATCTTGCAGGCAGCATGAAGGATAAAGAGAAGAAAAATGAGAAGAGATGATATGGGATACTTTTGCTTTTGAAGAAGTAACTTTCCACAGGCTTATTCTTGAACTGGGCTGGAGGGTTTTCTGGTTTCCTCCAGAGTATAAGGCCGATTGAAGAATTTGAGGGTCAAAACAAGTCCATCAAATCTATAGTACGTTCGACCCTGCTGATATGGGATACTTTTGCTTTTGACAGAGTAGTGGATGTATCGGCACGTGTGCTGTTACGCTTGTCTCCACATGCTTCCTTGTATCCTTCTCACTTGCCCTATATGTTCCTCAGGCAGATGCGGTATCTTCCCTGGAAGCATAAGATGTTGAAGATGAGTACTCGAGAGCAATGCCAGGTAAGTAATCAAGTAAGGGGTTCCAGGCAGTCAGTTCCTGACTGGAAGCTTGATTCCAAGTGCTGACTAATTGCTCTCTTTCTCCTTGTCTTGTAGGTAAGAACAAGGCCAAAGGAAAAGACAGGGAAAAAACATGATATGGGATACTCTTGCTTTTAACCCTGATGATATGAGATATTCTTGCTCTAGTATAGCTTGTTTGCAGAGGTATTATCGGGGGGAAAGAAAGCTGAATATTTCGAAAGGCTTCTTTGGGAGTGCCCTCTCAGATATGAGGAAGGGTTGAGCATTTTTGCAGGTCTGCCTGTCTGTTGGGGATGGAGGTCAACATATATAGGAGTCTCCCTAACAACAAGTAGTAATGCTATTCCCTTACCCTGCTTGGTCATAACACGGTAGTGGGAGCTGCCAGCTTCACATGTTTAACTTTGTCAGAGCACTTTGAAAAAGTGGTCTGTGGTATTTGGAAAGCTGATGTTGCGTGTAAAGATTACAGACAAGCTTTATCCAAGGAGATCCGGCTCTTGAAGTTGGGAAAGTGGTGCCTCTTCGGTTTTCGAACAAGCAATCTTGTCGGAGATCTGGATCTCGAGATTCGGAGAACGATGCCTTTTCGATTTTTGAGAAAGCAATCTTGCTAGGGGTCTGGCTCTCGAGATTCGGAGAGCGGTGTCTTTTCTATTTTTGAGAAAGTAATCATGTTGGGAGTCTGGCTCTCGAGATTCGGAGGGCGGTGCCTCTTCGATTTTGGAGCAAGCAGTCTTGTTGGGAGTGTTTTCTCAAATGTGAGAAAAGGTTGGGCATGTTTGCTAGTCTATCTTGCCACGAAGCACAGAGGTTGACACACAGGGATTTTCCAATTATCCAGCAGTGGTACTGTTCCTTGACCCTTGTGGGTAATAATATGGTAGCTAGACCTTCAAAATTTATGTGTCTAAACTTTGTTAGTGCTGTTTCTTTGCTATTCTTTTACCCTTCTTGGTCAGAGCGGTGTAGTGGGAGCTGCAAGCTTCACGTGTCTCAACTTTGTCAGAGAACTTTGGCAAAGTTATCTGTGGTACCCATGAGCTAATGTTGCGTGTGGGAAGTGGGTGATTGAACAGTAAGATTCATGTGCTTTCTACTTCACCAGAAATCTTCGACATAATGCCCATAATTTCCGCAAAGCTGACAGGTGCTGACAAGGCTGGAAAAGTAGGTGCCTCTTCGATTTCTGAGATCGGCCCTCGTGGTCTCTGAGCAGCCCCAGCTTTTGAGAAAGCAAGCGCTTCTTCGATTTCTGAGATCGGCCTTCGTGGTCTTTGAGCAGCCCAACTTTTGAGAAAGCAAACGTCTCGTGGTCTCTGAGCAGCCCCAGCTTTTGAGAAAGCAAACGCCTCTTCGATTTCTGAAGCTCCGTCGAGTGCAGATTTTTATAGAGGCTGGCATTAAGTTCCAAAGCACACTTGAATCTCCACCAGTAGAAGCTCCATTCTTGCACTTCTAAGATCTTGATTTGTCCGACCTCTTCTCTCTTCAACACCTTTGAAAATGTCTGGCCCCTCCGACCGTCGTTTTGACTTGAACCTTATTGAAGAGGCAGCCACGCCTTCTCCAGACAACATATGGCGCCCATCCTTCGTCTCCCCTACTGGTCCTCTTACTGTTGGGGATTCCGTGATGAAGAATGATATGACCGCTGCGGTAGTGGCCAGGAACCTTCTTACTCCTAAAGATAACAGACTACTTTCCAAACGGTCTGATGAGTTGGCTGTTAAGGATTCTCTGGCTCTCAGTGTTCAGTGTGCAGGTTCTGTGTCTAACATGGCCCAACGCCTATTTGCTCGAACCCGCCAAGTTGAATCATTGGCGGCTGAAGTGATGAGTCTCAAACAGGAGATTAGAAGGCTCAAGCATGAGAATAAACAGTTGCACCGGCTCGCACATGACTATGCTACAAACATGAAGATGAAGCTTGACCAGATGAAGGAATTTGATGGTCAGGTTTTACTTGATCATCAGAGATTTGTGGGTTTGTTCCAAAGGCATTTATTGCCTTCGTCTTCTGGGGCTGTACCGCGTAATGAAGCTCCAAATGATCAACCTCTGCTGCCTCTTCCTTCTAGGGTTCTGTCCAGTACTGAGGCTCCAAATGATCCCCCTCCAGTGCCTGCTCTTTCTGGGGCTCTACCGACTACTGAGACTTCTCCTAAGCAACCTTTGTGAAGGCTCCCTCTTGTTTGTTTATTTTGACTCATGTATATGTACATATTTGTGACTTATCAGGGATATCAATAAATAGCTTTCCTTCATTTTCAACGTATTGTGTTGAATACACCAAAGCCTTCTTCGCTAAGTTCTCTGAATTTTCTTTTGTTGAAGCTTGTATGTTGAAGCTTTGTGAGTGGAGCATGTAGGTTGAGGTAGTATTCCCTTAATTTCCCGAGTGAGGAAAACTTCTCGGTTGGAGACTTGGAAAATCCAAGTCACTGAGTGGGATCGGCTATATGAATCTTTGAACGCCATTGTGCTCGGTCCTGTGTCATGTCCTCCGTTAGATCCAAGTACTCTAAGTCTTTTCTTAGAGTCTCTTCCAAAGTTTTCCTAGGTCTTCCTCTACCCCTTCGGCCCTGAACCTCTGTCCCATAGTCGCATCTTCTAATCGGAGCGTCAGTAGGCCTTCTTTGCACATGTCCAAACCACCGTAACCGATTTTCTCTCATCTTTCTTTCAATTTCGGCAACTCCTACTTTACCCCGGATATCCTCATTCCTAATCTTATCCTTTCTTGTGTGCCCACACATCCAACGAAGCATCCTCATCTCCGCTACACCCATTTTTTGTGTACGTGTTGATGCTTCACCGCCCAACATT